GAGTCTGCTTGCAGGCCAACTCTGAATTCGCTTGCTTGTTTGCTGGGATGCGAGTGCAGTTGCATTTAAAGCAAAGGACTTCCAGGTGGAGCTGAAACTTTGGGCCACACCTGGGAGGAATATTAATTTTTTAAAGCTTTTATATACCGTCCAACTATTCGCGTCTGGGGACCGCGAGACTAAATTCGGAAGAAATGTTCACAGCATTGGATTGCCAGACTGCTTTGCAGCAGGACTCCAAGAGCAACTCCTCGGAATTGGGAACCTCTTTTCAGTGGCCCTGCATTCAATGGGTCCAGGATGGCATCCGTGGACAGTCTGCCTTCTGCAAACTGGAGTTTTGGACTCCAGCTCCCATCAGCCCCAGCTAGCATGGCCAAAGGCCAGGATTCCTGGGAGCTGTCGGCCAAACCACGGGGAGAAGGCTGCTCAATATTCCGTGAACTTCACCCGCACGGAAGTGCGCTCAGCCAAGCGCACGATGGTTGGCGGCCGAAGGCCTGGCTCTGTTTGCTCGGAAGTAAGTTCCGCGGAGTTCCGTGGCAGTTACTTCCCAGTAAGTGTGTCTCGCACAGGATCGCGCCTGCGCTGCTAAATTCCCCGCTGCCAAGCAACTTAGGGACTCGGAAGATGAGCAGGCCGCCGGCGCGAAACGCGGAGGGAAGCCCGGAGAATCTGCTGGGCCGAAGGCAGAGCGCAGTGGCGGCCACCCCGGCCTGCTTCTTCCCAGTCCCCTCCCAGGAGAAAACCAGGGCAGCATTCCCGGAATGCCTCTTTCCCCGCGGAAAACGGCACCTGGAGCCCCGCGCGAATCTTGCCTTGGAATCCCGCAACGCCTGGGCGTTCCTCATCGCGTCTGCTCAGAAGCGCCACGCAGGTCCTTTCCGCAAGGTCGGAGCCTAGTCCTGTCTTCAGAATATTCGCAGGAGCGCCGGCGCGATCCTGGCACTCCGGTAGCCTGAGCGCAACCGGATCCTACACCCCACCCCCAGCAGCGAGCCGCGTGGATTTCCCTGCGCCCGCTTGGGTCTGCGTGGCGTGGCCCCCTTGCCTCCAGTGGCAGAGAAAGGGCAGCCCTGTGGGAAAATCAGTGAGATCAAAACCAAGCGCCTCGCGCTGGCTGGATGCCACCCTCGGTTCGGTTCACACTCACGTCCCCATCCCCTCGGACGGCTCTCCAAAGAGGGTGGATTTGGTATGGTGCCGGTAATGCTCCCCTCCACGCAGCTTTCTCCTCCAGACCTGATCGAGAAAGAAAGGATCGCTCCTTCTTCGCGCGGGCGGCCCACCTGACGCACGTGGGGAAAAGTTGCCCGGCCGCTGGCTCAGACGCGCGTTTCTCTGAGGGCCAAGGGGAAACGCGCCTCTAGCAAATTCAGTGAGCCACGCGGGTCCGCCTAGGGAGGGGAACGCGGCTGCCCGCCGAGGCGTTGTCGCCTCGCTCATCTATTTTCTGTAATAAGCGCACGCGAGAGCGGGCGGCGCGGCGTGGGAAGGCGAAGCCCCACAGGGTCCAGAGCTGAAGCTGAGCGTGACTCCGCGGCGGGAGGCGACCCGCAGCCTTCCGAGCGGCCCGGCGCGCGGTGCCCGGCTGAACGCGGGTCTTCCGCCGAGTCCGACTGGGGAGGCCCCCTCGGTCGCTCACAGACTGCATTATGCTTGGAAATGCAGGACAGCAACGTGGTGTCGCGCGCGCGCGCGCGGTTTCTCCGTGTTTTGAAGCCGTACAAAAATTATGCAAATCGACCTAAAAGCAAGGGCTCGCCTTTTGAAATGGTAATGCTCTCTTCATTAAGCACTTATTGGAAAACTAGCTGCTCTCCCCCCCCCCCCCGCCATCACAACAGCACCCCCGCCCCTGTCCATCGCCCGTCTCTCTTTTGGTGGGCCGGGAAAGCAAACAGACGGGGGGCCAGAAAACAAAAAGCGTGGCAGACCCTTTTGTTATTTTTTTTCAGGTAGTCTTAATGCATGTTATTTATTAATACATCCGCGTCGAAGCCAATCCGGACTGCGCTTCGCGTTCCTCTGCGCTGCGCCTGGACGCAGATCCTGAACCGCGCCGGCCGAAGCTTCCCGCTGGCGGACACACGCTGGCGGGGAAGCCAGCGCCGCAGAAACCCAAGGGGCTCGGTTTCTGGGTGATGAACTTCGAATCGGCGTAGTTAGAGGGAGGCCCCAAACAACAGGTTACCCTATTAGTAGGGCAGGAGGAAAATAAAATCCGTTTTGCAGTTTCCCTACTGCAGGGTCAGGGAGAGAAGTCCCGGCTTTGGCTGGAGGGTGTCTGGAAATGCTGGATGATTCTAACTCTAACATTTAGTAGTTTCCTACAATGTAAAAGGAGAAAGAAATATGTTGCTTCCTTCACATTCTAGGTCCCATTAGAAGGTCGCCATTATATTATTATGATTATGATTATGATTATGATTATGATTATGATTATTATTGAGCCAGAGCTGAGTTGGAGCCGTCGCCGCGCGATTCTGGAATCAGAATTTCAGCCATTTAGCCAGAAAATAAACAGGGAGCCGAGGGAAGCCCAGTTCCGTCGCTCGTTCCATTGCGACTGGGAGGGGAAAGCACTTCGGAAGCTCCGTGACGTTCTAATTAACTTTGCCGTCCCAAATTGCCCGCTGCTTCGAGAACGAGGAGAAGATTGGCGCGGGGGCAGGTGGCGCGCCTTGGTCCGCAGGTGAGCGCCCGCCCCTCCTTGATGTCGCAGTGACTTCAAGCCACTTGCGGTGGCTACAGTTATAAAGGGAAATAATCAGTCGTGAGCTAGGCTCTCTGTCTTCTGGAATTATTAGGCACTCTCTCCCTCTCCCTCCTGGAATTATCCGCCGATCTATCCTAAACAGGCCCTCGCAGCGCCCAGTTCGGAGGATTCCCGACCCGGGCACCTCGGCCTGGCGCACAAGGGGCGTGGAATCGGTTTAGCTGAGGAGGAGGTTCCCGGAGAACCTTAAATCCCTCCGCCGTCGCTTCCCACGAAGGGGGTGCTCTCCGCCCCCCGAGACCCCCTTTGCCAGAAGGCAGCCACGTCGGCCCTTTCGAGCAGATTCGGCCGCCCGGCGACGGAGAGAGACCGGCGCCCGTGCGCCCACGTTCCTACGCCCCGCAGCGCGCTTGGCACGGCTCCTGCGCCCCCGCGCCACGCCGGGGCTGCGCGGGAGGAGAGCGCCGGGCCACGGCGGACCTCCGCCTGCAGGGCCCGTCTGGGGCGCGGGGAACAGGGAGCGACGGATTCACGCCCCGGGTCCCATCGGCTACGAGCTGAGGCGCGGAAGGTGCGTGAAAGGCATCCAATTCCCCCGCCTGCCCCTCGCCCCGATCCTCGCAAGCTGGCTCCGTCTCTCTGGCTTCCCCCGGAAGACTCCGGGAGGGGTCCTAAGAAAAGCGGAAACGCGCCGGGCGAACGGGTTCAGAGCGACCTTTCTACACGCAACTGGCTCTTGACCTAAGAGAGCTCATTCTGCCCAGGAAGGGCTCCCAGCGGCGCTTGGTGCACGACCCTCCCTCTGGCTGGTCGCAACAAAAGCAAACTAGTTGGTGCCCCGAGAAATCAGCGCTCGTTTGCCGCGCTCGTTCTCTCCTTCTGGCAGCGCCTGCCCGCGCCACTTGACACGCCTCCGCCTTGCCTTCGCCCCGGGCCCGCGGGCCGAACTTTCGCCTTTGCATCGGCCCGCGTGCAGCCCTTAACGTGAGATCATGCAGTGCACGCGGGACTTTTCCCCCGAGGAGCACGCGTCGCCGCGGGCGGCGGGCACTTTGCGCCCGGCAGACTGCCCGCCAGAGCTGCCGACCAGGAGCTGCGCGCTCAACCCGGCAGCGCGTCCCGCTGCTCGCAAGGGCGGCTCGGCCGGTTGCTGTCCCTGGGCCCAACGGCGCGACTCCTTCCTCGTCGTCCGTGGCGCGGAGCTCTTCCGGACTTGGGAAGGCCGGCCTGGAACGGGATTGCGCGACACGTCCCTTGCCACTCGTGCCGGGAGGGAATGCCCGGTCCTGGCCGGCCGACGGGCGGGCGGCGGCGGCGGGCCTCCCCTCCCGCCTCCCTTCTCTTCCCCCCGCCTCCGCATCCCGGGCGGGCGACGTGACGCTCAACGGGCGAGCGGGCCGTGCGCGGCTGGCCAGCTTCCCCAGCAGCCGGGCGGGCGCGGCGTCGCGGGGCCGGCAGCCTGCGCGCTGCGCTGCGCTCCCGCCGGCCGGCCACGTCCCCCGCCGAGGGGCGGGCCTCGACGGGCTCCCCCTTCGGCTTTCCCCGAGCCCCGCCCCGTCCTTTCGGCCTCCCTCCCACGGCTCCCCCCGGGAGCGCCGGCCGGGGGGCGTGTCCTCCGCGCATGCAGATGAGCCGCCGTGACGGACAGCTCGCCGTGCCAATGCCCCTGCGCGCCGCCCGTGCGCGCAGCCCCTCGCCTCGCCGCCCGCTCGGCAGCTCCAAAATCCGAGCGGCGTCGCAGGCGCGCGGGGAGAGCTCAGCTCGCCTCGCCTCGCCTTCCTGGCGGGCCGGCAGCCGGGCGGCAGG